TGTCTTTTATATATAGGGATATAGGGATATATTGGGTAGAAATTTGCATGTAATTTTCTGATATATAGTTTTTTTGTTATGTAAATAATGTTGTCCAGAACTTTTATAGAGCTAGCACACTAAGTCTAATAATACTGGCAAAATTTTTGTAATGCAGGTCAATAATCATGTGTTACTGCATTAATTAATGTAAAGGTTAGTATGTATGTATAACAATAATTTGTAATTTTATTAAATTTATTATGCCAAAACAATAACTTAACCGAAACGGATGAAAAATCATTTGAGAGATTTTTTAGTAGGTGTTAGTCACATTGCTTTGGTACTATAGATGCAGACTTATCTACATCACTAGTTATGACTCAATTGCATTTTATTTTATAACCTGATTTTTTATATAGATGTAACTAGGTGATGTCATAAGTCTGCATCTATAATTGGTACTCTACAATCTCAACATTCCTCACTAACAATAATTCCAGATTAGATTTATATTAGGTGTTGAAAATCATTTCAAAATCGATAATAGAATCCTACATACATGTTTAATTTTTTATTCTGACCCAGATTTGACGGGTAATCTTTGTACCCAGGTTGTATTTTTTAGAACAGATACAATCATTACATAAAGGGTTATTATTATTAATATTATATAAAAAATAAATTTTTATTTTTGTGATGGTAAAAAAAATAAATAAATTTATCTAACAATAATATAAAAATTTAGAAAATGACTTTCATAGTAGAAATAGTAATAAAAGAAAGGTAATATTATAAAGAGTAAAGATATCAGTAGATTAAAATTGTAAAAATTTATTCTTTATCAAATTTGATATTAACAGTTGAACATTGTAGATTGTTTTGTAGTATATGTAGATCTAATAAGACATTTTTTATTTTTTTTGTTTGTATATAAGATTTTTTAAGACTTATTTTTCTAGTTAGTTTTTTAGATTCTTTTTAATTGAATTTAGTAAAGATAGTTTTGTTAGCTTCAGATTTATAATCATTATAATTGGTGAGTTTTATATTGATAGGTTGGTCTGTTTCTTCAGACCTTTTATAATTAACTAAAGGTTTGCTTTCAATATCACTCAAAGTTGTTGATGGTGATGTTTAGATTACAGATATATCTTTTAAATTTTTGGTAATGTTTTGGTGAATATTTATTATAGAACCAATTATATATCTCATAGTTGCATATGTTTTATTATTATATAGTTATTATTTTATTTGACATATTTAATTTTTATGATTATATCTAAATAACAGAGCATTTTATTATTTTTTGAACTGTAATAATATGAAAATTTAAAATAGTTTATAGATTAGATTATACTACACTTTAATATTAATAAATATATATATTTTAGGGTTTTAGATTTTAGATTTATATAATAACACTAATAAAGATTTTTACTTTACAGTATTAGAGTTAATAAGAAGACTGAAGTTTATTATAGTAGTTATTATAGATTAAGAAAGGAGCTTATTTAATAAAAAGTTAATTTATTTTAGGATATTATTATTGTTAATCACAAAGTTCTTTACATCTTTATCTCTTTTAAGCAATGTTTAGATTTTCAGTATACTGTTATGATGTAAAATTTTCTTTCAGATGCTATTGATTTTTAGGTTTGTTTATAATAATTGGTTCAAGCCTCACATAGTAGTAATAATCTAGTGATAGGAAGATTTTTGCATAACAATAATTGGTTATTTAATTAGTAGACCGTCAGTAACGACCAGGGTAAAATCGCTATCCAAAAATGTTTCAAACATCACGAGACTAATATAGAGCACCAAAAAATTCATGTAACTTGAACAAAAAATACAAATAAAAAAAATAAAAAATATGTTTATTTGAATAAACTTCAATAGAAGTAATATTTGTTGTCAGAAAATACAGTCAACTCTTTCTATAATGAACTGAAGATTTTAGAAAAAAAAATTTGTTATATAAAATTATTATGTTTTCTTAAGAACTATGAAGCATGCAACTTTTATACCGAACTATTATGAAATTTCAAAATTTTGAGTTCATAATATCTAGAGTTTGTTATAGGAAAGTTCATTATACCTAGAGTCAACTGTATTATAATTACAGTTTTTTAAGTATTTGGAATATTTCATTACCTTTTAAAATAATTATAATCCACCTCTAATTTATGTAATGACTCCAAGTTTTTATTAATACTATCGAACTATTTGTTACTATTTGGATTCATTATGTTTCTTTAACAATTGTTTTTGTTGCATTCAGAATTCAGAATTATAAGCCTTTTTGCTCAAATAAATAATCATAGCTTTAGTCTTCAGTAAGAGCATTAAAAATAAAATCTACAAGGTTTTCTGGTGCAGCAATTGATGTATATGTTTAAAATATTGTGTTTATACCTTTAAAAGAAACACTAGATTTGCTGAAGTTGCAACGGTCGCTTTTCATTTTAAAGAATCGAAGAAAAAAACCACTTACTAAATCAATTATTACTTTTTAAGTATAAATATTATTATTATCATGATTCACATGATATCACATGATTTTTGAAACTTTTTTGGGTGCGATTTTACCTAGTCTACAAATCTGAAATAACACCCAGTGCTTTATTTTAGATTTTGGCCAGAATTAAGCTTAATTTAGGCCAAAATTTTAAATTACACCACTGGGCATTATTTTGGATTTATGTGGTAATTAAAAATGATGCACTTTAAACCCAGTTTAGAAATGTACTGCTTTTTATATATTAATATACATACATTATTATTTTGTGATATTAGAGATAATTTTTTGTAAAAATAACGTTACCAGATGAAGTTTTTTTAAAATATTCAAGTACATTCATACTTATTATAAAAGTTTATATTCATGCCTTCTTGTAAATCATCAATAGTGTAGAATTATTATACCAATATTATGGATTAAACCACTGGAATATCTTAATAATATACGACATATAGAAATATATCTTTCAGCACTAAATATTAAAGAAAAAGCTCTATTGATTACCTTTAAAATTACTCTTCCAAATCATCCGCAACCATTATTTGATTACGCAAATTATGCTACACCTATTAACTCTATTTTAACTAATTGAGTTAGGAATTAGCTTAATATTAGATATAGTGTACTTATTGAGGACAAAAGCCATAAAAAATGGATTGTAAGCACTGTTCATTGTTTTTTAATTGCTATGTTTCTAGAAAATGTCAAAAGCTTAAATTTTTGGAACTTAATGGAATTATTAATATGATGATATTTAAATGTTTAGTATGAACAATTCTGTTATCAATTTAAGCTTTTGCATGGATAATTTTATGGATAATTTATATCTCAGGAGTATAAAAAGATTAACAAAGATTATTATTGAAAATATTACTTTGATAGTTTAAATTTTTCTAGTAATTTTCTTGGTTCTAAAGAAGTAAAAGAAATAGCTAAAGCTCTTTGCATAAATAATACCTTAACTTACTTAAATCTTAGGCATAATAAAATTAGTATTGAAGGTGTTAAGGCATTGGCAAAAGCTCTTTGTATCAATAGTTCCTTGACTACTTTAGACCTTCACTATGATAAAATTTGTTTTGAAGGTAGAAAAGCATTAGCTGAGCCTCTTTACATAAATACTATCTTGAAATCCTTAAAGCTTAGCATAAATAACATTGGCTTTAAAAGTATAAAAGCATTATCTGAGGCTCTTCTCTTAAGCTCTACCTTGACTTTCTTAGATATTAGCGACAATAATATTGGCTTTGAAGGTGGAAAGTTATTACGGTTCTTTGTAAAAATGCCTCTTTGACTTCCTTAAATATTAGCTATAATAGAATTGGCTTTAAAGATAGAAAGACATTTGCTGAAGCTCTTTATAAAAATTATGCTTTGACTTCTTTAAATGTTAGTGATAATAGGATTGATTTTGTCAGAGGAAAGGCATTTGCTGAGGCTCTTTGCATAAACACTACTCTAACTTCCTTAAATCTTTATAATAATATAATTGGTTTGGAAGGTAGAAAAGCATTTGCTGAGGCTCTTTGCATAAATACTGTTCTAATCTCCTTATACCTTTCAAAAAATCAACTCGATTCTGAAGCAGGAAAAGAACTAGCTGATGTACTTTGCATAAACTCTACTTTGACTACTTTGGATATTAGCTTCAATAATATTGATCATGAAGGTGGATTAGCTTTTGCAGAGGCTCTTTATATAAACTCTACTCTTACTTGTTTAGATTTTTCATATATAAACTTTGATTTGGATGTTGGAAAAGCTTTAGCTGAGGCTCTCTGTAAAAACTACACTTTAACTTTCTTAAGTTTGTATGGAAATTGTGACATGAGCATATTAAGAGATGTCTTTCATACAAATACTACACTAAAAGAATTTGATTATTCGGAAGAGTTAGAAGCTACTCAATATACAGTACTGAAATTAGATGAGCTGCAAATAGCTTTGGATCATTTGGATTGCTTAAATTAGACACTGAACTTGTGCCTTTTATGTCTTTTAGGATTCTTACCTGCATTGTTGTTGTTTATCTCTTTTTAAACCGGTGATTTGGCATATGAAGGAATCTAATAAATATTTTTGTTAAAATGATTTATTAAATCATTTGAAATAATGAATTTGCATTCTCACCTTTATTGTTGTTTTTTATTTTCTCTTTTTAAACTGGTTATTTCCATATGATGGAATCTAATAAATATTATACTCTAAAATGATTTATTAAATCACTTGAAATAATTAATTTTGATTATTTAAGAAGTTTATATATAAGGCTAATATTTGTTTTTTAAATTGATATGCCTTCTGATCGAATATTAAAAAATCTCACAGTAATAAATTGCCTTAATAAAAAAATATAATATTAAATGCTAATTTACTCCCTCTTGACCATACCTATATTACAATCAAACCTGCTTCAAACTAACTACATATACTGTTGTATTTTTTCAGACTGTACCAAGTTATGTTAATAGATGTAACATTATTTGCTCTTAACAAAATGGATAAAAAAAGAGATTTAAATTATTGGTATACAAAATTATGTTGGCTTAAAAAAGTTTTATTAGAATTAAATGAAACAGAATATATTTATTTTGGAATTGAAACAGAACATCTTTATTTGACAACTAATTGTAACATTTTACCTTATATTGCTCTAGAAATCTTAAGCGGAAAACCAAAGATACAAACTCAAACTGAAAATATCTATAGGTTTTATATAATTATGATCGAGGTATCATCAGGAACACAAGCATTTGACAGATATGACTTTGTTTTTTTTGAGCTTAAATGTGAGAGATTAAGACCTGAGTATACACCTGGTATATCTGAATATTATGTAGAATTGGCCAAAAAATGCATAGATGCTGATCCCAATAAACGGCCTACTATAAAAGATATTTATGATAAAATTAATAATTAGATAAATTCAAAAGAAAATAAACAACTATTTGGCAAATTTGAGAAACAACTGTTTGAGAAATTTGAAAAATTTGAGAAATTTAAAAAATTCAATTTAATTATAA